CGCATTTGATGCGATCAAATGTGTGCTAAACAGTTGTGGTATCTCTCCTTCTGTCCTGGGCTATTCACCGTTCCTATATCCTCGTATTAAGCCTTCACTATCACTAGCTTTATTCCCCTGATTATTTAGATGTACTGTGGCGTGCTCCTTTGAGCGAAATTCATAAAAACCCTCCACACTCCACGCTGGCGTTCTCACCCTCCTTCACATTTGTGCTGGGAATGTTGATCAGATCCTGCCATATTGCTACTCAATCATCCATTCTTAGGTCTTATCACAGTCTCCCCCTTGCCCCATAGGATTGATCTGCTATCTCCCTGGTTCACTCGACCCCTGCTAACCCATCTGTGCCCTATCATGTTTCTATCCCTAATATCAAGTCTATCACTTCCTATGCCATAGTCTATTGTGTTCCGACCCACAAGCGTTGTGGTTCAACATTGAACCTCATCAAAGCAAGCAATACCACAACGTTTGAGAGTTGGCATACAAGAGACTAGGGCATAGGAAGTCATAGACTTGATATTACGGATAGAAACAGGAAAGACACAGTGAAGACTAGAGCTACTTGGCTAACAATAGACGTGTTTGATCATAGACGTGATCTATGAAGCACGTCTATTTTTAGTCAACTAGCTCTTGCCTCCACGCATCTATCCGTAATACCAAGTATATGACTTTCTATGACCTAGTCTCTTGTGTGCCAAACCACAAGGATTGTGGTTCAACATTGAACCTCATCAAAGCAAGCAGTACCACAACGTTTGTGGGTTGGCACACAAGAGACTAGGGCATGGCAAATCATAGACTTGGTATTACGGAAAAATGCGTGGAGGCAAGAGCTAGTTGACTAAAAATAGACGTGCTTCATGGATCACGTCTATTGTTAGCCAAATAGCTTCACTGCGTATTTCCTGTTTCTATCTGTAATACCACGTCTATCACTCCCTACGTCCTAGTATCTTGTGTGCCAACCCACAAATGTCGTGGTTCTACTTGTTTTGATCGGGCTCACTAAAGATGTCTTCTATTGGTTTCAAATTGTTCCTTTCTGGTCCCCCTGCGATTTCTTTTCCTAAAATTAAGAATATTACCTTGATCTAGTCGTCTTCTTTTTGCTGATCTTGCTATTGCCTGGTCTTCCCCGAGTTTGTTTAGGCAATATGCCAAGTTTTTTGCTGATCCTGCCTTCTTTAAGTCTCCTGTTCACTAGATTTCTCTCGTTCAGTATTTCGATGGCCTCTCGGATCTTGCGTTTTCTCCCATATTCACCATATACAGCCAGCCTTTTGGTCGATTTCCAGTTGATGTTGTTTCCCGTTCGTGCAATGCGCGCCTTTATTTATGATCTTTATGTATCCATATTCCTGAAGAGTCTTTGATATTCCTTGCTTCATCAACATACCTTTGTTCACAGTTTAAGCATTTGATGCGAGCAATCAAGTAAGATTGCCAAACAATGCACTAATTACAGCCGAACAAAGAAGACAATTGTAAGTCAATCCTGACATTTGACCTTTTTTGAATTGTTGTAAACATTATGGTATCGCTCCCCGATTCTTCAATCTAACGAGAAAGTGTCATCCGGACACAATTAATGAAATACTTTATTACGCCTCCATCCAGAAATTACAGGAAATTTACGAGACTGAGAGGCGTAAGCTATTTAAGTTCATAGATCTCAAGTCTAGATTAAGGAAGGATCTAGCTAGGGTTCTCACTTTGGATGATTTTCTAAAACTCCAGAGCATGACGGACCAGAAGTTACAGAGGGTCCGGGATATGATAAATAAGCGGCATGACAAGAAATTGCTCAACTATGGGATAATAAGACAGCGCAAGACCAAGCCAGCCCGGGCAACTTTTGATGGTTCTTTATTGAAGGCATCGAATACTACAGACGACGATAGAAAAAAAGTATCAAACCTATCTTCAGACCCTTTTGATTATTAAACTATTGATCTCTTAAAGAAGAGGTTACATTTTTCATTAGGTAACGAAAGAAATGTTTAGTGATATTCTGGCGGAAGCTGTCAACATAACTGATAAATATCCAGAAGAGACAAGGCGGGAGATGGAACTGGAAATAATACTACGGATCCTGACACATCAAGAACCGATACACAGAAACAAATTGGCTGGTATTTGGGAAAAGAAACATTACAAAATAATGATCAAATAGTTCTTCAGGCGGATAAGGGAGGAGCGACAGTTGTAATGGACAAGAAACAGTACACGGAAAAAATGGAAAGTATCCTTGACGACCCCAACACTTATAAAATAATAAGGAAGAATCCAACCATAAAGATCAACGTGACCCTGAAGGATATGATAAAGAGAATGCATAATAATGGGAAAATTGATAGATTGATGATGAAATCTTTCATTAAAAATGATGCAAGGCCACCGACAGCCTACGGAATATCGAAGAAACGCAAGGAAGGAAATCCTCTAAGACTAATAGTCAACAACAAGCATGGAGCAATGCACAAACTGGCGCAACCTATTTGCTTGAAGCTCAAGAAAGTAAATGACAGAATCTCGAATACCGTCAAGAATTCATATGAATTTTCTCAAAATATCCAGCACATTGGGTTGGTGGGGACAGAATTGTCGGTGAGCTTCGATGTACAATGCATGTACACAAACATCTCAGGCGAGAAGGCGGTAAGCGCTTTGCTGGAGATATTGGAGCGGGAAGAGGATATGCTGGAGGCAGAATGTATACGGAAGGAATCGTTAGCACGACTGATCAACCTGACAGTAAGGACCACGAGCAAATATTTGGACTACCGATGTGATCTCCACTCTCACCTCTTTTGGCAATATGTACATGGACAAGTTGGAAAAGCAATTCGAGAAGTCGGCACTGCAACCAAGAGCGCTCATGCCATATTTGGATGACAAATTTGCACTTTGGTCGCATTGTGAGGAATATTTAAGTGAATTCCTCAACTTCATTAACCAACTTGATGAAATAATTAAGTCTACGATGGAGGTGGAGAAGGATGAACGACTACCCTTTCTGGATATCGGAGTCATGCGCTCCAAAGGGACACTCATGAGGAAACCATGCAGAAAGAATTCGTATGCGGGAATAATCCTTAATTTACAGTCTCACCATAACTACAGACTGAAGATCGGAATAATGAGGAGTTTGATCAACAGAAGCTTACGACTAACAGACACTAAGTTCTGGGACGAGGAGCTGGACAAACTGATACGGATTTGCCTTA